CATAAGGGTTTCTCAAAATCAAGGGAGCGTGATGCCAAAAAGTTTGGGAACCACTGCCTTAGACCTTTCAGTCTCTTTCAACCGATCTTAGTGATTTAACAAAAAATAATCCCATTCCACTGGATTCTTCCCAACTCTAAAAAGTCAGCTGCTTACCCCAGGTCAATGGATACTCTTAATGTCACACCAAAGACAGTTCTGGCAGCCAATTTCTCTAAACTAACAAACAATTCATTAGTTAAAAAAATAAGCAAGTTATTGAGAGGCTAAAGCAGGTAAAATACATAAACAAGTGTAAGTTTGTATTTTCAAAATAGTAGCAGAGATGTAGTAATCTGCTAGTTTTCCTTAAGTCTCTCGAGGTTACCCAAAATAACTTTGGGATCTTTGTCTTGCATCTGGAATGCTTCCCTGTGAGTGTCCAAATAGTTCAGAGATACAAACCCATTCCCTGGGTGCATTCTTATAGCTCCTTTCCATGGTAGGCAATCTGACCTTCATTCACAGCATGGGCTTCTCTTTTGTTGACTAAATACATACTGAGTCTGTGAATTTCTGTTGTCAAACACAATGACCCATACTTTGAAATTAGCAACCTTCTTCAATTACATTTCCAAAGCTCAATCACATTTGAATAAACAATTACCAGAATATATGCTATCTACATTGTAAAAAAATATAATTGCACATAACAAACCTTCATTAGTTTTCATAATGTTTACACATCAAGTAAATTTTCATCCTAATATTTATACACACTTTTTGTCTATACATAATGTAATAGCAATCAACAGGATATGGATAGGTGAAAACAATACCTTTTAACACATCGGTGAATTGCTCTGTGGGAATTAGTACGCTTAACACTTCTTTAATATTCACACACAAGTGAATTGGCCTATGGCTCTAACCTGCTGCCCTGTCAGTCTCTCTCACAGTCCCCAGAATAAAGGGCTGGATAGAGGGCTGCCATTCAACCAAAATGTCTTGTTCCAGTTTCCCACTGGTGAAGCCCCTGAAGGCGACCTGGAAAACTATAGGCCTGCTTTGATGCAGCAGTCATCTCTAACGTCCAGTGAGACTGAGGAAGAAGATGATGGGTTCCTAGATATATTGGATGGTGAGGACTTGAAGGTATGTGGAAGGGGAGAGGTTGATTTATACCTGTGAGGGACACATGTCTGTATTGAACACTTCTAAGGAAGTAAAGAATCTGCACATGGGAAGTGATGTGCATACATAATGCCCTGAGGGCAGACTCTTGATCCAGGTTTTTAAATGACCATGGTGGGGTAAATTCTAGTTTAGCCTTATAGGATTATCAATCATCTGTTAAGGGCATTTGTCCACTTTGAACATCTATGGTAAGCAACTATTATAACTAAGATAGAGCTTCTTTCATCACAAGTGGCAAAAAGCTAGTAATTGCCAATAATCCTTCAAGACGACCTGATGCTGTAGTAGGCTATATCTACACTTACAGCAGCATAGCTGTACCACTGCAGCTGTGTCACTGTAAGATTTTCCAATGCTAACGGGTGAGAGCCTTCCTGCTGGCATAGTGAAACCATCCCAAGATGTCAGTAGTAGAGATTGTCATTTGTCAGACAGTCCTGCCAACACAGCATTGTCCACACCAGTGCTTTTGTCAGTGAAATTTAGTTGTCCATCAAGGGGGTGGTTTTTTTCCGGCCTCTGATCGACACAAGTTTTACTGACAAAAGTGATAGTGCAGACATAGCTGTAGTCCTGTCCAACTCTCAATGCTTTTCATAGAATTACAGAAATATTATGCTTCTACTTCAAACAGTAGACTGTAGAACTTGTCACTTCAGATCCTCACTAGATGACAATAGCAATTAAATTGAGACGATTTGCTGCAGTTCCTATGTTGGTGATAAAATACTCAGCTTGCAGTTATTGGGGAATACCCAGGATATATAATGGGAAGGAAAATACCTGTGTAAAATGGGGTAATTGATGTAGAAACTAGACTTACCGGGATGGAGTCAGAAGTTTTAAAGTAACATTTTAAAAACATAAATGGATTTTTTGGTAAATGAATCAGTTGCTATAACTTCCCTTAACAGTTTTAAGATTCTGCCTTCCCAGTATCCTAGCTTCCATTAGAATGGAATTCCTGCTAATCTAGGAATTACTAGATAAGAGGAAGTTCCCACAACAGTGAATGAGTAAGTAATCCCAAAGAAGTGTTTTGGCCCCTGCTTGAGCGGTGTAAAAGCCTTAGACAAATTGTGAAGCCACTGACTGTTCTTCCTGAAATGTGATTAAAACTTCAATGATTTTCTGCTTCCTCAGAACAATGAAGAGATGCCATCTGGTGTGGCGAGCCTTTGGACTGCTCCCCTGGTCATGAGAAAAGCAGACAACTACGTAAGTACGTTGGGGTGGGATAATGCAACTTGCATCTCTTTCAAATGCCCATCTATACCATTGAAATGCATTATTAAAAACTGAGTAAATCACTACTCTTAGTGGGCATCCCTATTACACTCAAGGCATACATTTGCTAATATAACTTTCAAAAACTGCCTTTTGGACAAGTCACCATGATTGCATCTTTGATCCTGCACCTCTCAGGATCTAGGACATGGTAGTCAGTACATACTTGCTCTTAATCTTAGCTTTCCTAATGACTAGAGGGTTCCGTCTTTGTAGCATTTAGAAACAGTAGGATTTAACTATTAAGGTTTTTCCTTCAGCAATTTGAGAGAAATGTCCAAAGTTTGCATCCTAAACAGAATCTTACAAATGTCTCTCCAATCCATTCTGCATGCATCAATCTGTAATGCCTCCAGCCTCACTATCTTTTAATGCTAAAATCTGGATTCTCTCAACTCCATCAACTCAGTACTTTAATCTGCCAGAGTATTTGCTGTCAAGGTATCCGAAACACTCCCTCACCCGAAGGGCACAGCATGCTTCTTTTGTAATGTCCCCACACTCACTAAACCTTTCTGGCAAGAGACCGACTCTAGGACCCAGGTTTCTTGCATAGCAACTAAATATACAGCCCGGTATTAGTTAAGAGGTCAGTTGGCTGTGCCACCAAATTGTCAGCTACTTTGTTGTGACAGTTTTACACCCGCTCATGCCCTAATTAAATCTTATATGAATATGTTTGCAGGAAACTTCGTTAGAGACTGATCTAGATTTTAACCTTATCCTTCTTAGCTTGGGGGGAATGTCTCAGTTTTTCTGCTTCTCTCCCTCCCCCCCCAGATGAAAAGGTGCAGATTGTTTGGGTCACCATCTCTGCCTAATGGTGTGGCTAGGACTGCCCTGAAAAGAATGGAAAGGTCCCAAGAAGAGACCTCTTCAGAAAACAGCAAAAGGAGAAAAAATGTGCCTGGAACACCTTCTGAAGAAGCAACGGTTGGTGTTTTAATCCTCGTCTAATCAGTTTTATTTTGTGAGGATAGGTATTTACAATAAGGATACTCAAGAGAACAATGATCTTCCAGGTCGATAACTGTCCATGTAAGAAGCTGTCACCTCTTAATGCGTGGTGTAAGGGAGTGGGTTAGGTGGGCTTGAGTTCAGGTCTGGTTTTGTGATTCAAAGTGAAATTAAATTAGAGGGTGTGGAAAGCCAGGATGTAGGTGTTCTGATACATACCACTTGATGTTAGCGTTTGCTCTCAGTGAAGTGCATTAATTCTCTGTGGGCAAGGATAATGGACCATCCTGATGTCATTTCAAACCATTGCTTCTGTAGAATCTAAAATTAATGAGGACTCAGTCATCCTCCGAGATCGAGAGCATTTTGGACAGTGACCAAAGGAATCTTATTGGTGACTTCTCAAAGGTAACGATTTTTTTTTTAAGTAGCATCTTTGTGTCAAACTAACCTGTCAGGTTTCCTTTGCGTACTCTACTGCTGAGCATTTAAAAATGCTTTAACAATCATTTACTCCTCCCTCTTGTGAGAGATTCTGAAACCTTTCCTACTATTACTCAACATCCCTTAACTCTCTGCAAACTATTCAATTGCATCCATTTTTCCTCTGTCTTTAGACTGTAAGGTCTTGTGGGCAGATGGCAAGTTAGAGATGGGCTACTGTGTCAGCGTGGGCAGCCATAAACTGCGACGTACATTGTGGAAGACTGTACAATGATGGGACTTCCTGAAATTCTTTGCTTTGAATATAGTTAAGAACACTGTGGCTTGACTGCATATGCCTCATGAATAATAGGTGCCTTTGCTGGTCTATGGAGTGTCCATTTATACTGCTGGGTGGTGTAAAATCAATAACCAGATAGTCTGTAACGGATATATGGTCTACATGGTCTTAAATAGGATTTCCTCAGTCTGAGTTAGGCTTCTGTTTTCCTTTTTTAGGGTTACCTTTTCCACACTGTAGATGGGAAACATCAAGACTTAAAATATATTGACTCAGAAATGGTATGTATCCCTGTGGCAATAAGAAATTGCTTTGTACAAGGAAGCAGAGTCATGTAGCACAAGATAAACTTCTGAAATCTTTTTTCTGTGTAGATTGTATCTGTGCTGACTGGGAAGTTTGCAAGCTTCATTAAGGAGTGTGTGATAATTGACTGCAGATATCCATATGAATATGAGGGAGGCCATATCAAGGTACAGTGACCCTGCAGAAGAGAGATATCGGTGTCTGTATTAGGGATGTAAGAGTTTAATGTGTTAACTGATAAGATGATGCTTATTGGTTACCCTCACCAATTAAATTCTTCCTGGGTGCAGTGGCAGCCTTGTGGGGCTGGGAGCACCAACAGCTGTTAACCATGTGACCGAGAGAATTTTTATCAGTTACGTAGTTAATATTTTTATTCATTTTTACATACCCTCCTCTCGCCCCCCATCAAGTTTTGCTGCCCTGGTCAGTTCCTTTTTTATCAACAAGTTTTGCTGGTTTGGGGGGAGGGGGGGCGGGATGGGACATGAGGGTTTCTCAAATCTGAAAGGGGGCGTGACGCCGAAAAGTTTGGGAACCACTGATCTAGATGGTGCTTGGTCTTGCCGTGAGGGCAGGGGACTGGACTTGATCTCTTGAGGTCCCTTTCCGTTCTAGTGTTCTGTGATTCTATGGTGCAGACGCACGCAGGCAGGCCATAGCAGCTGAGCACTTGAGTGGCACTTAAGGATACAGCAGGCAGGGAGCCTGCTGGGCTGCTGGCTCAGAGCTGTCTACAGTAAGCACCTCCTGGCCATAGCCTGCCCCAGGCCCTCCGCCCATTCCTGCACCCCAACTCCCTGCCCCAGGTCACAACTCAAACTCTCTGCACCCCTTCCTGCCCCAGGTCATAACCTAAAGCCCTGCACCCCTTCCCCAGGTCACAACTCCCTCCTAGAACCTGCAACCC